AAACTTTAACGGACTCGATCGTTTTAGCTATTTTGAGCGAAATATTAAAATACAGACTACTGTAAATTTGGGTCCCAATGACATCGTGATCAGAAGAGTAAAAAAAAACTCTGTCTGGGCTAAAATCTTGTTATGACGATTTTAAATTGAAAAAATTTGGATTTACTCATAAAAATGAATGCTCTTTCGGATTGGGTAGGTAAAATCGAAAGAAACTTTGCTCTTAGTCGCAGTGTTTGGTGGTCTAGCGAAATCTCTCTTAAAAGTGGATCTTTTTCATTTTTATTCATATGGGTTGGACAAAGATAGAATACCTGTGACAGACACTTTGATAGTCTGAAATATAAATCAAATGGCTTATGACAATTAAAAAATATGATTTTTTTGTAGAATAGTCATTATAATCACAAGTAACGCTCGTCGCCGCGACTCGCTTAACCCTCGACTAAAGAGTTTCGTTGTGGCATTGACATAGTATTGTAGTGCTCTATAAAAATCTCTGAAAATATGAAAATTACTCAATATCATCTACCACAATAATGTGACGGTTGGCGATTAATAGATGGCCTGGTTCAATTTATAAGAATTTATTCATATAAAATTATTGTTTCTCATTGGCATTTTCATTTAATTAAGTCTTAGAAAGATATCTGTCGTAAAATTCTATCTTTAGATTGTGGCAATTATAAGAATATCTTGAAATTCTACTTAGTTTTTCAGATAGAAATAAGCTTTCCTTCAATAGCGATAACTTATTCAGACTATAAAATGGCAATTACTAATCATAGTGTTAGGTGATAAGGCTATTTACAGAGATGTGCGGTCCACGGGGTTCACCCCGCGGGCCCCGCGGGGCCACGTGGCGACGGGCGGGCGGGGAAGAAAAATTTAATTAAACGCGGGATTAACGGGGCACGGGTATTTTCCAACACACGGGCGGGTGGGGCGGGAAATCATTTTTTTAAATGGCACGGGTCTCGGGCGGAGCGGGTATGAGATACACGGGTTCGGGCGGGTAAACATTTTTTTTCGGGTGTGATGAAAGATCGTCAAAACTTATCACGGGATGTCCTTAGTATAGGTATGTAGTACAAAGTACATATTGATTGGTTCATTACTTTCATCCTATTATGTACAAGATTGTCTGCCATTTGTTTGTTTCTTTCTTTATCGTCTGTCATACGCAACTTCTACTATCAATTTATATTAAGTGAATAACTGGACTAAAACTTATTTTATATGTAGAATTATCGTTTGAATTTTTTTGTGAATTACTACTTAGGTCTGACCAAAAGTTCTGACAACATTATATAAAAATATAAAGATAAGGAGGTATCTTTAATTTTATTTTATCAAATTTTGAGGACAGTTGCCATGATTATTTATACCAAGTTTGATCCTTTCCAACGATTAGTTAAAAGTTTTTTCGAAAAAAGTTTTAGGTATCATGGATGCCGCATGAGCTAATCATATTTCATTTATTGTGAAAAGTTAGCAAAATCTTGTTCGATCATATCAGTTGCATTTTAGTACTGCTAGTGATGAGATATAAATTTATTTTAGATAGGTTAGTCATAAGTTATCCGATGCTGGCTGGCTTATTGAAGATGAATCGTCAAAGACTATTGTTCATGAATAAAGATTTTAGAAAATGCTTTGTTTGGTATATTCTTTAAATCAAATACTCCTGAATGTAGATAAAGGTAAGACTGTAAGTCACAAGTATTATACTGAAAACTCTCCAAAACATTTTATTAATGAAATATGGAAACAAACAGAGACATCAGGTTCAAAATGTACAAAATTGCTTGATGGTCATCGTTGACTTCATACTCATCTAATGTTATTAACTGCATCACAGAAGAAGGCATCAACATAATATCATATCTATCATATTCGCCAGGCCTGATACTATGTAACTTTTCGCTAACTAATTCTATTAAATGTAGTTTAACTGATTAAATAAATGAAACATGATAAGCTCGTGCGATATCTAAGATATCTAAAAATGTTTTCGAAAAAAACGTTTGACAAATTGTTGGAAAGGATCAAACTTGGTATAAATAATCATGGCAACTGTCCTCAATATTTGATAAAATAAAATTAAAGATACCTACTTATCTTTATATTTTTATATAATGTTGCCAGAACTTTTGGTCAGACCTAAGTATGATCGAATTACATGATTTATCTCCTGATGAATCACTTGATAGGACAGCTTCGTCGAATACTGATCGTTCATCTACAATTATTTCTTCATCTCTCAGTCATTGCTCGTCGAGTAATATTAAATGTAATTCGTCAAATATAAAAATGTTTTTAAAAGCACAACCAGAAAAATACGTGCTTGTCGACAATCACAAAGTGAATCATTCAAAACCATCTCATATAGACTTGAGTTTTGTTTTTGTAAAAAACGATTATTCACAAAAGGAATGCATCATTAAAAATAAAGTATTTGGTAAATAAAAAGTTTCTTCGGGTTACACGGGGACGGGTCGGGGCCGTCACAAAAATGGCGGGTCGGGCGGGCCGGTCCAAGAAGCTGCCTGTGCGGGGTACGGGCGGAGCGGGTATAGATTTGCCGGGGCACAGGCGGGGCGGGGATTCTCAAAAAGAATATCCACGGGGTTCGGACGGGGCGGGTTTGTGAATTTTACGGAGCGGGCCCCGCGGGGCATGGAAAATCAATGCCCCGCACATCTCTGGCTATTTACTAGAACGATATGATTCAATCAAACAATAATAATGAGTTGAAAGAGCTTGGTTTCAATTATCGGAGCTAGATATAGTTCTCCTAGACTAGTTCGACTATATCTTAATCAGAATACATTTATACCAAAGCATTAGCTTTGAAAAGTCTTAAAATGAAACGTGATTTCATTATCGAATTTAAAAATCATCGTATTTACATTGTATAATAAAATGATTTAGTAAAATGAGGTAGTATTACGACGAAGCATGTTTTATTCCGTCGATGTGAAGCTACCACGAACACGATGAGCTACCACGACTCGAGCAAAAAGCTGATTGGTCGAATGAACGACCAATCGGAAAATCGAAAAACCAAAAACATCAGAATGGAGGCTGATAATTTGAAAATGGCGACCCTTAGCAACGGAATTCACCGAGAAGCTAGCACGACGCAAACAGTTAGCAGGAACAAAAAAAAAAAGAAAACATTTTCAAAAAAAAAGCAAAATGTTCACGATAAGGTCCCTTCCCCAAACATGTGCTATACATGTTCTTGTGTAGAATTTAATTCTGCATCGATATATGTTCAACTTATATCCAGATTTCATTTCCATATAGGTGATATACGCTCGTACATGAGTGCAGTCAGGAAAAAAAGCAAAAAAAAATTTTACCAGCACAAAAAACCTGCACGACATGATCTATTGCCCGGATATAAGTTATACATCATCTTGTAGAGAATTTAATTCTGCATCGAACGATGTATAACTGATATTAAGATTCCATTTTCATATAGGTCATATATAGTCATCAATGGGTGGAATCACAAAAAAAGGCAAACAAGTTTAATAAAGAACCAATTTGTGGACCAGATGGTCCATTGCCCGGACATAACTTATGCATAATCTTGTAGAGAATTTAGTTCTACATCGAATGATGTAGAAGTGATATCGAGATTGCATTTCCATATAGGTGACAGATCGTGAGCTTTGAATTGTGTAAGAGAAAAAAAACAAAAGAATCGGGAGAAAATTTCATTTCATAGAAATTATGCTTGAATAAACAACTATTAAAAATTTCTGATAGTGGTGAATTTTTATCCGAAAACTGGGAAGTGTGAGAGATTTTTGTAAGTGTAAGATATTGTGTCCAAGAACACTTCAAGTCCGAGAAAAGGCCTACTTTCTTCGTTGTGGTGCCTGCATATGAAGACTTAGTAGTGTTGCTAATCTCTCGAAATATTCAGTTGTGGTTTTACATGTATGGAAAAAGTCGATATAGATTAGTAAAAGAGATGCTTTTTCCACGACTGAACTGGAAATGGCAATGAAAAAGGTTTTTGATGAGGATTGACAGCGCACCAATACCAGCATCATTTGTTCGCAGATGTTTAGAATGTCCTCTTGCTCTCCAATGCTTTCTTACCGAAAGAAATTTTCTTGAGCATCTATCTTTTCGGGTATCAGTAAACTTATTGATTTCAAAGAATATTGTAAACGTATTTTAAAAGAATAAATGCCGTTCTGGAGTGCAGAAGCGTCAGAAATGTGTTTTTCAGTATTGTATGAAGGCATCTTTGTTTAGTTTTTTCAAAATTAAGATATAGAAACATGTGTGTAGTGTAAAAATCTGCAACAAATTATTTTATGAGCTTGGTCATAAACAATTGCTTAAATTGCGAAAAGTTTTTACAGGTGCTTCGGTAGCATCGAGAGTACTCATGTTCATACATAAAAGTCAGAAATACAGTAGTTTGGCCCGCTCTATTCTTGAGTTTTTTTTGAAAAATGCAACCACACACTATTTTTATTTTTCAATAATTTTTATATGTTGTATGGATATGTTTTATATATCAATGGTTAATACGTATTGAACTACTACATAGTCTCTTAATGAATTTCATTTCACTTACTAAACATGTATTGGATGTCAGTTTTTTAATATAAGCTAGAATAACTAAAATGATATCTATAGTTCGTTTAAAAAAAGTATTGATGTAAAAGTAAAATGACCTGTATGAAAATGGAATCTTAATATGAGTTGTACGTCATTCGATGCAGAATTAAATTATCTACAAGATGAGGTATAACTCGTGTCCGGGCAATGGGCCGTCCGGTCCACAGATTGGTTTTTTATTAAATTTTCTTGCTTTTTTTTATGATTCCGCGCATTGTTGACCATACATCATCTTTATGAACATGGAATCCTCGCATGAGTTATACATCATTCGACGTAGAATTAAATTCTCTACTAGATGATGTATTGCTCATGTCCGGGCAATGGACCCTATCGTGTGTAGCGTGAATATGAAAGGTTGGGTCGGTGGAAGTTAGTTATTTTTTTTTGAATTGTTGATTACTTTTTTGTTTTTTAGAAAGTTTTGGTGATTTGTTTTTAAAAGACTATTTGTTTTTTTTGGGTCGTTGGAAAAAATGGTTGGTTGCTAAGGAAGTTTGTGGTGGTATTTTATGGACTAGGGATGGTAAATTATGCTCTCGCTATGATTGGTCGTATGGATGGTCGGGTCTAATTGGTCATCGCGCTAGCTTCACATCGATGTATTCATTGACCACTGAAAATAATGACCATGATAGTTCATGGATCACTGATGAAGAATTTGAGCAAGTAAAGAAATCTTTTTTTATTTTTTTGTTATAAATAACTCTATTGAACAATAATATCTTTCTATTCTAGAATAAATCACCTGATCACCATAACAATCTTTGAACACAAGAAGCTTTTATAAATCTTATCTTACAAACACAACAAAATCAGAAAGAACTCATCAATACCATAATGGAATCTGTAAAAGAACAACAATTAGTTCAAAATGAATTTTTTAAAAATATGTTTGATCCTCAAAAAGAACAACAATTGGGTGTGGGTGTGGGTCTGGATCTGAGTGTGCATGTGAGTGAAGGAAAGACCACACCCACACCCACCACACCCACACCACCCACACTCACCCGCATCCACACCCACACCCACACCCACCACACCCACACTCACCCGCACCCACACCCACACCCCTAATAAATATTATTCTCTTTTTTTTTCTTCAGGTTCACAATTTGATATACATACCGGTGGTATTGACTTGGACTTTCCGCATCATGATAACAAAACAGCACAATCAAAAGCTTATTTCGATCCTGATTCATGGGTGATTAATTTTCTCCACAGTGTTCATTTAACAATAGGTGGTTGCAAAATGTCAAAAGCATTAAAAAAAATTGTAACACTTCAACAAGTGCTTGAAAAATATGGTCCAACAAAAATTCGGTTATTATTTTTATTACATTCATGGTCAACAACATTCGATTATAGTGATCATGAAATGGAAAAAGCTTCAAATTATGAAGAAACACTTAATAAATTTTTTTTCGAGGTTAAAACACTTTTATATTCAATCGATGATTCAAATAATTCAAATACCTCTACTAAAGATAATGAACGTGATTTAATTTTAAATAAAGATTTTTCAACAGCTGAAAAACAAATTAATCTCGCATTATGTGACTTCATTGATACACCAAGTGCAATGGAAAATATCCGACAATTAATGTTAAAAACAATTGCTTATATGAATACAAAAAATGTAGCCGTTAATTGTCTTTTATTACGAAAGATTGCTGCTTATATAACACGTTTAATTACTATATTTGGTTTACATGATTCTGTAACATTTGTTGATGATATTGGATTTAGTCGATCAACTGAACAACAAGCATCAACAATAAATATGGAAAATATAGTTATGCCTCATGTTGAACAATTTGCTTCACTTGATGATGCTGTACATACACAAAAAATTGCAGGTAAAAGTAAGATTGTTACATCTGGTGATCGTGTTATAGGTCAACTTTTATCTGAATCAGGTGTTCGACTTGAAGATCAAGGTATGAGTTGAAATTTCTTGAATAATTAATTCTATTGTTTTTCTATGTTATAGATGGTACAAAAAAAGCTACAATTAAATATTGTCATCCAGACGTATTAAAATCGGAATGCAAACAATAATTGTTGGTTAAAAAAAGTGAACAAGAAAAACAACGACAAAAATTAGAACTCTTGATGCTCAAACAGATTTTTTTTATTTTAGCGTTGTTCATTATTTATTTTCTTTTGTTATTAAATAAAGGTCATATTATGAAGCTGGCTTTTGCTTTTAAAAAAATACTATACAAACATGTTGAATATTTTCATATATGATAATAAACCATTATGAAGTAAATTATATATATATATATCTAAACAGAACTCTGTATAAAACGTTTTATTAATGAAAGTTTAAGATTGATTATTCTTGGTGATTGAATATCATGTGACACATAGATAAGAATATATCTCAATCTTTCAAGTTGTCAATTTAAATAACGGTTTATAGCATGAAGATGATCAATAAATATTACTATAGAAAACGTTTGACGAAATTAATAAACAACTAGATAAGCTTAAAGAAAAACTCTAAAATCATGAAGAATTGATGGTTGAAAATAGAATTCTGTATCTGTTGTTATCCAACATATAAGATGATGAAGAGATTTTGTTGAAAAGAGAAATAACTTTGTTATGTCGTCTCTCTTTTCTTTATTGCTCGTATTCTCATATTATACTCTGATATCACCGAGATAGCAACGTGACGGTATGACCACAGAACAGAACAAAAGAATAATCTCCCTTCGCATGGAATCGAACCATGCATCTCCTGCTTTCCGGGCAGTCGTATTAACCACTGTACCAGAAAGGAGTACTCATCATTCTTTTTGTTCTGTCTTATGTTCGAAGGGGAACACTTCGAACATAACAATTTTTAACATAGTAGGACATATTTATTAGTTTTCTTTTACTTCAATTAGAAGATCATAGATCAAATTTTGATCCTCTGTTCAACAGCTCTCTATTCCAACTAATGAAACTATGAAAACTAGCTGAAAATTATTGTTCTCTCAACGAAGAACAAATCAATTGTGTTACTTTCGACAATTTTTAATGAATCTATACTACTATTTAATTAAAAAGATATTATTTCACGATCTTCGAATAGGTTATTTTTTTCTTCTAATGGAATATAAATACTTAGTATAGTTTCGCAATATGAGTCGAAATTACCTTACATTAATTATGTTTACACAAATATACATTTATAATACATTAACAAATCTTTCTATATTCTGTTTCTCATCAGTGAAAATTCTAAGAAAAAAACTCTGATTAATGAACACCATTAGGTACTATTCCGATATACTTATGAATACAGAAAATCACCTTAAACATCCACTTTCTATTACAAATTAATATTCGAATATAGATACTCAATAGTAATTGTAGTGTGAGAATTATTGTAAAATTGGTATTGTTTTTTATTTTGTTAAAGACCTTTTTTTAGCAAGAAAAATAGTGTGCAGTTTATTTTAACCTATCTTTTTCATTAAGGGTTTCTATAAACATATAAAACGACTACATGTTGTTTTCTAAAGCATTGTAGGACTAGATATGTGATAGTTCCCGATGAAAAAACGGAACTGGTTTTGATCATCCAGTTCTTTCTTTTGAGAACTGAGTCCGATGATCAATTAGATTTATGACAGCTTAGTTCTGTGAACTGGTCACTAGATCCAATTCTCAAAAAAAGAACCAGTTCATAGAACTGAGCTGTCACACGTCTATATATGACTGCCAAGAACGGATCTACAGCGGATGAGGGGTTGCGACTCCTACCCTTTTTCATGATCACACCCCTTTCAAAAATTCCTTCACCAATCTTTAATGGCTACAATTCAGTCAACTTGTATTGTAATAAACATGCCTACTCTTCTTTGCTGAGAATGACCTCGTCTACTGTCATATGAATAAATATCGTTGAGCGACCGCAACAAAAAGAAATAAATAAACGTTGGAAAGGGAAGAGCATCTGTTGATGATCATATTGGACGACACATCGATCAATATTACATTTTTTTTTCCGTCGCGGTCACACATTCTATTCTTCGCCGACGGCAAA